CTTTATGCGGATTCCTCTTTGTGTTTCAGTGATTTTGCAAAAAGCAGACCAAATTTGTCAGCGAATTGGCGTTAAACTTGCGCTACTGAATTGATATATAAAATGATCCCTTTACTTTGTAAAGCTTTCCCTTGTTCTCTGTGCTAAAACATTGTTGTTCTGCACTTGGACATTTGAATTAAACCGTTTAAGATTAAATAAATGTGTTGTTTTATAAGCTTATCTTTTCTGAATAAAAAAAGAAGAACTTTAATGATTAATCATTGTGTTGTAGTCCTGTAGCCCATCACTCAGAAACTGAATGTTGTCAGCACGAAATGTGGAGTACTTAATTATATGATGCAGTTACAACGAGAGAATGGGCATACTTCTGAAATCAATATGTTAGGATTTTAAGACGAATGATTTAAAAAGTATGAAAGGTAACAACATCGACCTTTAAATTTTTAAATAAGTTTTTTTCTTTATCATGACAAAGCACAGTTGTAAGACAAGGGGTATCATTCTGAAAGATATATGTTTGGAGTTATGCCCCTTTTATCCAAGAATATTTGTCAAATAAAAACACTGTTCTCTGAAAGCCATCAACATGAAATTTGGAAAACTAGATTATGATGACTAAGAACAATTGTTATACTAGTACATTATCTTGAAAGCAATAAATTTAAGAGTTATGCCCCCTTTTAACTTTGAATATTTGTGAAAATTGGTTATTTAAAGTCGTTGCCCTTACCAGACGAGTTTTTAAAACGCATGTGGTGCTCTGTATTTCATTTTACAGTTGTACTAATGTACCATTGCATATTTTACCTACTAGTTTGTTATCGTTAAATAAAAAATGTCGATAATGAGTGGTTCAAACAATATGACTCTTTTCGTTAAAATTCTTAAAAATCCAGTATGTTTTGTGATTGATATTGTGACTGTATGTATACCTTTTTTAATGCGTTTATTTAAGGTCGCCGCCGGAAAGCCCATATGGGCGACCGTACACTCAAGTTGGGACATCATAGAGCGTCCCGCCGAGATTTTTCGTCATTTTTTTTTCCAGCTTTATTGGCGGAGGAAGACCCAGGTGCATTATTTCAGGCACGAGCGGGCACCTGTGTAGAACCACCGACCTTTCGTAAGTCAGCTGGATGGCTTCCTCACATGAAAAGATTTCGACCCGAGTGAGGATCGAACCTACAGCGGTGAGGGACCTGTGATCTCAAGTCAGCGACCTTAACGGAGGCTCCCTGTGTGTATACCACACTTGCAAACAAATTATATATGTATATAATTATGCAAATAAAACAATTTTCAAACATCAAAGAATATGTAAAATGTGTACTGCAAATATTTGTGCACATTATATTTAATCAATGACTCATATGCATTATTTTCTTATTGGAAAAATTGACTTAGAATTTTCTTATTACCTCCCTTTATTTACATGAAATGTTAAATGCGGTAATATCTTTTCAAATAATGCTTATTGGAACTTACAATATTGAAAAATCTTAATTTGAGCATTATATTTATGAAATAAAACCATGAGAAAATTGTGTTACAGGTTTTTTAAGAAAGGCTCTGTATGATTGCCAAGTAACACACGTAATATTTGTATTAATGAACCAGTGTTAAATTACATCACTTGTCATGCAGACAGTTCCGTCATGGAATCAAGGCAAGTCCTCTTAATCAAGACGTAGAAATTCAAATTTTGTGCACATTTTAGAGTAATTGTGAAAGGGATATAATATTTCAATAATTATTTATACTTCACTTTAATTTACAAATGCATGCTATAAATTTAGATTTCTAACTTTTGCATATTTCAAGATACTTTTCATAGAATAGTATCTTGCATAACAATCTTAATACATCTTTCGACATTTAAAGGAACTCCTTTGGTGTCCAAATGCCTAAAAACTTTTAATTTGAAAATCTTACAAATATCAAGTGAAGCTGGATAAAATAGAACAATCTGCAAATGATTACAAAAATATACTCAGGATTAAATTGAAATTGATTCTTGAGCTGTATTATTAGCTGGATTTTACTGAAAAGCGCTTTTCAATTTTCAGTCATTTCGCACAATAAAATTATTATTCTTGAAAATAGAGGGAATGCCCTGAAAATTTGCACACATTCATAAAATGACACACACATCTCAGAAACATGTTTTTCCCAGCCTGTTGAACAATCACAGTGGAGTCCCTTTAATTCACATCTGTTTGAAGAAAACAGAGAAGTTTAGTTCAGTGAAAAATCTCCGAAGAAGGACACGTATTACTGTATTACATACGGTGGCTTGACTAAAGTTATTTCCAAGTCCATAAGCCTTAACAAAATAACAGTCTTTAAATGACTTTGTGTGCGCAACAACAACAAAAATTGAATATTATATAAACATAAGTGATGAACATGCGAGTTTTAGATAAAAGGAGCAGAGAAAGTAAAACGTCATGCAATTCTGTAAAGGACTAGAACTAAATATGTTAGTACCACAGCAAAAGTGATATTATATCTTCTTATTAACATAAGTGGAGAACCTTCTTTAACACTTATATTATTCATATTACGTATACACGAACAGTTTTAAATACTGGTTAACATACTTCAGACACACCATGCCTTTACACATGTACTACCTCAAAAGAAACATTAGTGTTACGACATTTCTTTCTCATATTACTTTAACACTCAAATTTTGTATTTACTTAATATACAGAAACTCACTTTACCATTTCTTTTTGAATTTTTACACAATACTCTTTTCCCAGAACCACATATAGGAGTACATGTATAAACAAACCTTTAAAACACTTCTGTTGAACTTTTATTTTAAAAAATAATCGCTAAGTTGAAGACATTACGGAATTCCATAAACGACAGCCTACTGTTTACTGTCAACTGCCTACTGTCAACTGCTTACTGTCAATTGCCTACTGTCAACTGCTTACTTTAAACTGCTTAATGCTTACAGCAACTGTTTAATGCTTACTGTTAATTGATAAATGCCTACTGCTACACCTGTCTAATATCCGATTAATTGCCTGAAAGTAAATGTTGACTTTTTATGTCCTTCTTCCAATGTGTTTATATGTTACAATGAGGCCGTTTGAAACAGTATTGGTCAAGGATTTACTCAGTATCATTTATGAAGACTTTGACTGAAACCTTGGAACTTGTTACATTTATACATGTACATGTATAAATTCTCGTTTTACTAAGCAGAAAAATAAGTATATATCTTTGCAGGCATCTGGAACTTTTCCAAATCATAGACCTGTGAACTTTATAGAAATGTTAAACTTACCAAATATTACAATTTTTTCTGTCATTAAATCTTGTCGGTAATTTGAGCTACCAAATTTAACTGCTTGCTTAATTATTTATACATGTATATCCCTGTTCAAGCTTAGATACATCTACCATATAACATGTATATTATAATATTTGTTTATTAAATGATATTGACCCTAAGTTCGCATTTTGAAAATAATGCAATAATGTTTTGTTAAAAAATAATCTAGGTAATGGTTCTCAAAACATAGATATATAGATTTTCAGAAAAAAATATGTATACCAGTCACGTCTCGGATTACCAGTAGTTTTTTCTGATAAAAGTAAAACGTACTGGTAGAGTATAAACACTTCATGGTACAAATCATACATGGAACCGTTTAGTTCTATCTAAAAAAGCTACTACTTGTTCTGGTGATTGTAGACCGTACATTTAAACCTTAATTCTACAAAGCCTTAGATTTGACTCAAGCAATGTTACTTTAGTAGATGTTAAAAAAGCATGATGAGTAACATGTCAATTATTTGTGTTATAATTGGAAAGTCGATGCATAATAAAATCATTGAAAGATCTTTGAGTTACTTGGGCATTATTAATACAAAGTGCTGTTAGTATTTGTTTAGCGATATAATGAACTGCGGTATCCTAAATTTGAGTCACTATAATGCATGTAATTTTTTAGTTTTTGCAGTATTGCCTGTGTTACATTCTGATTTTTATAATTTATGATAAATGCATTAAAACCACATGATAGAAAACAGATTAATCAATATATTGCTGGACGGCCGTCTTTTTATTTCATTGCCTTAAGAAAACAGTGTTTATAGGTTAACTTGTAAAGCTGTTTTGAAGAAATATATTCAGTAAACTTGCCAGATATTGGAGCTTCAGATGTATTTCTTATGGAGCTAATGATATAACGTAATCTTCCTCTTCCTAATACATACTTTTCGCGATCCCATCCATTTAAAATTGATGGACTAAGACACTGTTTAACCCATTACCCGATATACACGCCTTTTAACGCCTTTTTCACCCCCTTTTTTGTTTCAAATGGTGAAAAATGCCTTATTTAGGCCCCCAACACTTGTTTTTGTTTGAAAAATGCTGTTTAAAAAAGTGACCACATTTTCGGCACGGCCCCCAACCATAAGATACATCAGGGGTTGCCAGAAGGAGGCACAAGAAAATTTTGGACATTTGAGAGGCTAAAAATGACCCTAGATCGATCATAAGGTAACGTGTAACCAACGCTGAAAAGCATTTGACTCTAACTCAATCCATTTAGAAGTTGCAGCATTTTGAAATCAATTTTGATGGAAAAAATCAACGCAAAATAGTGAGTTTTGGCAATTTTGAGATGTCCCCTCGTTGCCATAGTAACAGGAAATTTAAGCCTGGGCATGTTGTTACAAAGGCAATGGTCCAGTCAACATTTGTGCCAAGTTTGATTAGTATTGAAGCAGTTTTTTTTATAGTTTTATAGCAATTTGAACATTTCAATGAAAACAGCCATTTTTCACAAGATGCTCGTAAAGTAATGAGTTAAATGTGGACAATGTTGAAAATTGTTTTTTTTTTCAAATTGGTCATGTTACAACATTCAACAAACAAACTTTGCTTTATGGTTAACATATCTATAACCATTTTCAATTCATTTTGTCATAATTTTGTTTTCCGGGGAGCTAAACATAAACAAAATTACGAGAAAATTATGATATTTTTTTTTTAAAGAACTTTTTTATTTACAATTAAAACGAAAACAAAATACACTTATTGATTATAACACCACATAAAAAGTATGTTAAGTCCCAATAATGAGACCAGTAAGCTAATATTTTCTTGTTTAGACCGTTATTTAATAAAAAAATTATGACACGCCTGTAAAAAATCAAAATCTATATAAAATATTTGTAAAGTTTCGGGGAAAGCAATTAATTTAAAATCAGGATTATAGTTAAAAGTTCTGTTATGAATTATATACATGTAGTTGTTATGAAATTATATTAATGTAAATATACTCTGCAATGTAAAGTGATATACACGTTGTAAGAAAGGTAACTTAAAAATGCTTCATATCATATCATAGAAGCTCTACACTATCACGATGTCTTAGAACTGTTTACCATTGTCTTGTCAATTGAACTTGTCAAACCTCTAGAACCCTGATAGAAATAGTAATGACTTTCTGGCAAATACGAAGGCAGATTTGCTCATTGGTTTTACTTGAGGTAATTGCAAAAAGAAATAGAAGAAATAACTAACCTAAAAGATCACTTTTAAGTGTGTTTGTTAACAAGATAATTATAAAAATTATATAAAAGATGGATTTTAAACAAACACGTCAAAAAAATATATTGTAACATTAACATGATCTATCAGAAATTTTTAAGTAAATATAAATAGTTAAGAATCTATTATTTCTCATAGTTTTTCAACTGCACTATTGAATTTAAAGAAGAGAATAACGATGGCTTTTCATAAAAGTAAAATAAGCTGATCCAAACTGTAATTTATCACTTCATGTTTGCACTCTTTAAATTATGTCATTGAAATATTGAACGTTTTTGAAACAATTTGAATACAGCCGAGTTTATCTTTGTTTATGCTTTCATAAGATCCAATACATTTTTGTAGTCTTTTCCTCTTCCACTGTTATTTCAATATTTTCATACAGGTGTATTGGTTCTGTAACTTGTCTGTGAAGTCAATGAAAGTATAGGCTGTTCCTCCATTGAAATGTTTCTGTCAGATTTATCATCCTCTGTACTAGAATAAAATTAATTCTACAATTGGTATTATTAACTTTCAAAGCTCATATCTTTGCATCATAAACTATCAAGAGTGCAATCAACTTAACAAAAATGCATAACATAACATCTTATAAGGAATTACCCATTTATAAGCTATAACTAACAGCCAAAGAAAACTGAACCTAAATGATCTCTAAATGAACTCACACATTTTTGATTATGAGTGAATGTTTAGCCTAAATTTCACTAGTAATTTCACCAGTATATTACAGATATTCTTCTAGAAATGTATTACATTGTCAAATGAAAGTTTAATAAACTATGAAATTCTAAATAAAATAAGGGAGTGTTGACATAATGGACCAAATCTCCGCCTCTCAACCGAGGAATAGTGGTGGGCTCAAGCCCATCCATGTTGATTGTAGAACACAGATTCTTTGTGAATAAATTATTAAGTTGATTTACCCTAAAATGAGTCCTATATTTGACAATTTATCAATCACCTGTGCAAGAGGCACGTGGAACCATTTCATAACATAATCAATGCAATAGTGGGACATACACAAGTCATTGCAATGAATTCGAAGGCTTAATTATAAAAAAAAATCCTTTTTAATTTGCTTACCATTGTTTTCCCAGCAGATTTTTTTCAACAAAATGGCGGGTACACATGTGTGTACATTCGGAATACTTCTATTTGATCCATACATAGACTTAGACTGTCAATAAGCAGTTAGCAGTAGGCAGTGAGCAGCAGGCTGTCCAGTTACCAGTAGGCAGTGAGCAGTAGGCTGTCGTTTATGGAATTCCGTATGACATAGTCTTAGTTAGTTATTAAGAAAAATGATTTAACTCAGATGGAATTAAAGGTGAGTGTTCTGACTGACCACATTATCATAAAGTAGGCATACTTGAATGATTTCCTGTTATCCAGACTAAATAAATAATCATGTTGTTTTGTCAAGTTTATCAATCTACCAATTTCCGACATTAATGGAATTTCTGGACCGAGTTGTACTGTCTTTAATTAAATTACCTTTTCAGTTTACTTCCTCTGGCATTATAATCTTAACAAAATAAAACAACAAGTTTATGAATCTACTTTCCAAACATATATTTTTGTGTACTAATATGTACATCTTGAACCGAGATGTTTTATATATGCTTCACAATAAAGACAATTACATCGTATTGTACTTATATGTTTAACCAAAATATATTTTTACATGTAATTTATATAAACATAATAATGATGAAGTACAGGCATTGGTTATAAAATGTGAAAAAATATGGATCTTTTTACAATACGATATTTTCATAGAAACGGAAGTAGCATTTCGTCTATGCGCGAGAAAATACTATATCCGGTCGATTATTCATATAGCAACGGAACATTATGAATTTCATACTGTTTGCACTGGAGATATTGCTTCATTTTATAATTTTTAAAACATTTAAAACGACACTTTTTTGCAAAGTATCAGTCAGTTTTGTTGCTTTATTTTCTGGCCAGTTTTTATTTAAAGAGATGTTTAAAGGTCCATTCACATATGTTCAACCTTAAAGTATGTGTACTTGATATTTTCTGTGTGCTTAAATTTGTAAATTAAGTTTAATTAAAATACAATAAGACTACATACAAGATAAACTAAATATCTGTTTTTCTATCAAACATAATCAATGTTATATTTTAATTTACAGGAGAAATGTTCTAAATGTGTTTGTTTCTTAAACAAACAGAGAACAGTGTGGTCAAGGTTATAAGGAAATATTCTAATGTCAAATTCAGATCTTAGGTATTTGATTGGTCAGAAACAGGCACTAAATGTGAATTGACCAGCGAAAACCTTGAGATTCGAGCTTGATCTCAGAATCCCAGGAAAGGGTTTTACAACCATGGGGCCTGCTTTTGACACAGCTTCTTTCAAAACTATATTTGTTCAATATTTAATGTATTCTTATTGAAAATAATTATCTTGTTCATTGTTCATTTAGTAGATCTATGTAGATCATCCTGAAATATATTAGAAGAAGATTCGACCTTGCTCTAATGTTCCTTTATCATATATTCTAAAATAGTTCACTCGTACGTTATAAAACAGACTTTTGATTTCAATTAAGTCGCTGACATTCAAACACATTGTGAAGGTTATGACTGATTATGGAAACCAGGAAAGTTGATTCTCTTTCAATAACTTTAAATTGCGAGTTGTATTTTAATCTTTATCGGTCTTGTACATTGTATTAGAATATACATTTTTCACCAATAATGCAATAGGTGGTACACGTTCTATCTGATTTTATCTACATTTGAATCTGCTCTTTAATGAAAAGCACAGACGCTAACGTTCTATATAATTATATGTACATGTTTTGTTTTTAATTTAATTAATGTTCGTTGTAGTAAACAAGGATGACTTATAATTTTATTTGCCATGTATGATGATGTATGAAAATGTTATTGAGTGTTGTGTTACATACACGAGCAAGCCACAGATCACGTGATTCCAGGAAGTAGTCAGCCCATTGCAGGCAGAGTGACATGGTAATCTATACGCAACAAACTTAAAATAATCAAGTATGGCTAGAAGATAAGAATTTCTGATTGATCGAATTTTATCTGCGAAAAATAGCAACATATCGTACATTTGCATTTTTCTTATAAAATTAATTAAATTACACTTTGAAAAGTAACTGAAATTCGTACTGCAAAATTTTAATTTAGTTTACAGTTACTTTATTTAGATACATCTATCACGCTGTATCGATTTTTGCAGAAGTACAGACAAAACTTGTCAGCGAAAGTGTAACTGTTTCAACTTTAAAACTAATTACTTAAATTGTGAATACAAGTCAGCTATTGAATTGAAAATGAAGAATGTTCCTTTTATATTGTAAAGCAGGTAATTTGAGACTTTCCTTTATATCAATTGTGTAATTGCTTGAACTGATAAGAAAATCATTGTACTATATTTTGCAAACCTGCAAACTGTGTACCTTGCATTGCGATCACAATCACAAGTTACTTAAACTAAAACCTTTCCCGCGATAAAAGAGGATAGACACGTTTGAATACACTGTGATTAACGGAAACGTTTTTAATAGGCTCTTAGATAATCATAGATAATTGACAAAGTTTATGACACACTTGTATCTTAAATTCAAGCATAGAATTATGTTTATCTTATTTATTTACAAAGATTAGTTAAAGTTGACATTAAAATGTAGGGAAATAATGCTAATGCTAATGCTTAGTAACTAGTGTACTTGTACGTGTTGTAACATTACAATTTGCTTTACTTTTACAATTTACAGGAAAGAAATCTACATAAGTCTTTGATTTCCTTTTCAATTTTCTTTTATGTAATGCTGTTGTATCATAATTGTATATATTTGCATTATATGAAATAAATACTGTTTAAACCAATGTGACCATCTAATATGATTGTCTAAACTCTATAATCGAACTACATGTATTTGAATCACATTCTTACTGCATAAACATAATAAACGTCAGTGATGCATATGTTTTATGATAGCCCATTTAAGGCTTTATAAAGTTGTGGCAACATGGTAAATAAACATTGGCGCTGGAATCCTGGATATGGAATGTTTTCAACGGAATTGATACATATTGAATTTCAAACAATGGCATAATTATGCGTAATTCATTTAGATACTCGACTGGAAATGAATTGTGATTTGGAATAAAGACGACGATTATTTATTTTGGCTTCAAAATCAATATTCAACTTTTGCATATATGCCAAATGAACCACTTAGATTGTATAAAACTATTCTAGTCAGTGTCTAGTGAGTGCGACGGATACTTGTTTTAATTTGAATTTTATCTAAAATGACGTTTAACCGCTAGAAAATTTTCTCTTTTTTCAATATATAATATAGATGCGTTCAAAGCAAATATATATAGTACAGTGAATTCATGAAGTTATTTTATAAACATAAACGCATACTGCTTAACTCAGAATATCATGTTTTATACACTTTAAAGGGTATAAAGCTACATTATGATATTGAACGAGGTATGTTAAAAATGTTCGTGGACTTTTGCTGTCATTTCATACTTTGTTCATAAAAACAAACTCGTCTATGCTGTGAAATAACTTTACAAAATTTACCAACAAGAAAATTATGTTTTTTTCCATAATCTTAAGCTGATGGTCGATTCTCGAAAGAGTTGTGGCATCGAATGTCTACATGAATATTGTACGTAAACATAATTAAACATTGCGCAACAAAATCTTATACTGTCATTTTTAGTAGGGTTTTATCCATATAGCAATGATTTTTGTGCACCGGCCATTCGCTTTTAAGACACTTTATAACCATGTGTCTTTATACAAGCATTTTTGGTACTATTTTTTTCTTAAATTCAAACAAAATTTTTTGCAGCATATGCATATAGCTTTATACACTTATATTAATACGTTAAGTCAAACATATCTTGTAAATTCTTCAATGATATCCATTTTTTTCCATCTACAACAGTATATTTCATACATTGAACAGACATGCTAATTTGGGGAAAATTCCACAATATATATCTTTGGACATTTAATTACCATGCGTTGAAGAACAAGAACAGGAAAGCTTATTTCTTTGATAAATCTCTAAGGAAGCGCACGTATCAACATGTTGTATTACTTCATTATGATTTCGTCGAGAATGCACACGGCAGCTTGACTAAAGTAATTACCATTGTGCAACAACTGTCTGCATTCTAAACACCTGTACCTTCATATAACATTACAACTGATTATAAAGGCAATGTCTGTGCAATCAAATCGGATTTATCAATTGATATAAAATGTTAGGCGCAATTTTAAAAGAAATAGAAATAAACTAGTTGGTTACTATGTGTCCCTATCAGATTTAAAGCATATAATACTTCAGAAACTGGCGCGTTATAAAAAGCTCTCGGGACGCTGTTTTGAAGAAAGCTCAACAGTGATATGACGCACTTTTTAAAGAAAAAATTATTGAAGCACTTCGTTTGAAACAACAATGAATTATTTTCTCAAATAAAAATAAAAACTGAAGGCCACTTTAAGAACTATAACTGTACTTATTGCCAGCAAGCAAAAGAGGAAAGGTATTGATCATGTAATTGACTATTCAGTTAAGTTTCGGAAACTATAAAAGTACAAACAAAATAAAAAAAACTTTTGCGAAATAAAAATAAAAGCAATTCTTGGGCATAACGGGTCTTTCAATATTTAAGCTGATTTGATACCTTTGTTCAGTAGAAAGATTATTATTTAAGCATATTGTACCAACTGTAGAACATCTAGAATGTGTAAAGCCAATTGTTCTTCAACACAATATTAAACAGTTTTATTGCTAAAACATCTAGAATAATTGAATAATGATAATAATTTTAGTAGAACATAGTGTTTTGCAAAACTAGCAAAACTCTCTGCTTTTTCAAACACATCTCACTGCTTTAAAACTGCCAGGCACTACAGGAAGTATATGTACAAATAAATTGAAAATAAGGTACAACTTATAAGTAAAAACACTTTAAATCTAAATGTCTCCAGCTTATGAGAGTACATGGTTAGTCCATAATGTGTTAGTAAATAAATTACAGATGTCAACATTTTTTGTTCTGCAAGTTTGTATATAAATAAGACAACAGCAACAACAACATAGCCATTTTATTTCGTCAATGGTCACATACATGACAAAAACTATATGAAGAAAATACAGCAATTTAATATAAATAATAAAAATAATAAGTTAGCGAATATCAAAATACAAAAGAAAACAAAATATGATCAACAAAAAA